ATATTCCAGTGCTCTTGAACATAAAGCTCTTTCTTATACACATATGAGTGTCTATGAATTTGTTTCTCTAGTCAACTGAAACTAACACACCTTCTCTTAGGTTTTTATTCATTGGGTACATAGACAAAATCAAGACATTATTGTCCTAGTAGTGTCTTGAGGATATGGGGAAAGATAATTGAAAAAATATTTCATTTAGCAATATATACCAATAACTAAATATTCTGCAAAGCTTACAATCTGTTCACTTGACAAATTTTTGATCATCAAAGCTTACATTTCTGCAGACTGTTAATAAGAGTACAATGAGTGCAGTCATATATAAAGAAAGATTGAAACTGGGATCAAAACAAAGCATATTGAAGAAGAAATTCAAGGTGAAACTATCATAGTCAATTTAAACTCCTGAGAATCACAATGTACAAGATTACAAAATTGATGTCAATGTACTCTTCAGCAAGGAATCACAAAATTAACCTACTATGCAATATAGGATTTGAATTCTACGCGCCTTTATTTCCAGCTCCATACTCTTTTTTTCTTAGATATACAGCAGATGAACGTTTGGGCCGCCTGTGCCATTTCTCCACCTGTGCTCGTTTTCTGCAGGCCACCCCAGGCCAACCTAATGCCTGCCTGTGTGCTGGTTCAAGCACCAGTTGACAGCAGCCCACTATGCTGTTTTAGCCCGAGTTTTCTTTCCCTGTAATATTTACAACGTATCGAACTATTTTAACAGCCATTTAAAAAGGTAATGAATTTGATTTCAATTATGAAATCTATGACTATATCTTTCCTAAAGTCTCTCAGATGCCATATCTGGTCTCGGTCTCGGTCACAGTATTTGGTCTCTGGTAGAAGTTCAAATCCAGGAGGTAGTCTTTTATAATCAAGAGGAAAAATACTGCTTTCTGGTAGATTCTAACTCATTCTGACCATAGGATTTCTCAAGGGTGCAAATATTTCCTGAAGCAGACTGCCGTAATCTTCCTCCAAGGAATAGCTGAGTTTAAACCTTCAACTTTTCTGTAAGCAATCTAGCCACCAAGTCCCCTTTAGCCAGTAGAGTGGGTGGTAATTGCATTGAACACACAGTTTTTTATCTCATCACAAGGATCACGAGCCTGATAAACATTCACAGATCAAAATACATTTTCCAGTGCATCTTCTCTTAGGTAAGCTGGGTAAAAAGACTGTATGATCATTTAGAACTCAAGTATTTATGGAAAGTCTATAACATATTCAGACTAAGCTAGTTGTTTTTATCTTTATGTATTATGTCACACTTAAACAACCCCTTGGGTTGCAAAACCAGATAACTCAGAGGGTCATAAATTCAAAACAAGACACCCTTATTAGTGGCACATGCACATTTTAGCCTTCGTTAGTATTAATCTGTGGCTCAAGAGTAAATTATTATTTATATACTTCTAAATTAATATAATATGAACCATGATTCATTTTAAATAAAAGGAATGTATATTTATTTTTCTCCTCAAATTAATTTTTGTCACAAGTTTGAGGTAAATAAAATTGTGCAATCATACTATTTGAATTCAAAGCAAAAAAAAAAAAAAGATTGTCAATTTGGTTTCATACCTAAGTGTTTAAGCACCTTAAATGGACTGTTCCCCAAATTGAAAATGTGGATCCAGTAACAATGTAACAGTGAAGAAAAGAATTCTCAAACCAACTTTGGTAAAAAATAAATCAATAAATTCATAAATTTACTTCTTTGTAAAAATATTATCTTAAAAAGACAGAAAACTGTTGGGTATCATCATAAAGATGATATTGTGAAGAACTTATATAGGCAAACTATTTGATGGATGTAAAAATACCTGAAATAATTTATAGATACCCTGGATGGTGCAAATGGCTAAGCAGCTAAATGCAGGACTGCTAATCAAAAAGTTGTAGGTTCAAGTCTGCCCAGACACTCCATGGGAGAAAGTTCCAGTGTTCTACTTATGGAAAACCAACCATGGAAAACCGTATAGAGCATAGCAGTGCTCTGACACGCGAGGGTTACCATGAGTTGGAACCAACTTGAAGGCAATGAGTTTAACTGAGAAAATTGACCAAGTTGCACAATCTAAATTGAAGTCAAATTTTAGAGGTATACCTTTTAACTTCAATCGTGCATAACAAATAATTTTATTACTAAATGAAAATTTATTTTAAAAATATTCTTAATAAATGCATAAAATCCCTTCATCGAATGTTTTTAAATGGTACTGTACTGACTTGAGTTTGAGTAATCAAAATATGAATTTTCAGTTTAACAATAACATTAACCAAAAACCCACTCTCGCTGACTGCTTCTGACTCCCAGTGATCCTACATTGACCTTCTAAGGCTGTAAATACTTGAGACTAGAGCGTCTCATCTTTCTCCCGATGCAGGGGGGGTTAGTAGAGATAAGACCAACAATGGAAGCACCAGGAGTAGAGTGCTTCCTTTTGACTTGGGGTCTTTGTGCTGAGACACTCCTAGATCCAGAGGAAGGCTCAAGATAAGATAGATTATACTTGCCCTAGAGCTGGGCAGGGGAGACAGACCGGGCTTTCTACTCCTGTAAAGAGGTCGAGGTTTCTGTCCTGTAGGGTTGGTATGAGTCAGCATTGTCTTAATGACAGTGAATTTTGGGGATTTCTTTCAGAGCTCAGACAGACAGCAAGCTTTCCCATTAAACTGTTGCCCTAAATTCAGACTTCTAGCGTATTGAACTGTAAGAGAATAAAGTTCTGTTTGCTAACCCATCCATTTGAGTTTCTTCTATGGCAGCCGTAGATTAGGAAAACAGACACCAGTCAGGAAGTCTTCCTCTTTTAATAATCATCTGGGGCGAGGTATGAACTCATAAACTACAGGGCGAAGGACGCCAGTCTGCCAAAGATGCCCCAGGTCTCAGATGCCAGCTGTAAACTGAGAGTCCCTCAACCTCCTTCACTTCGGATCGCCTGACTGCAGGTTCAAGGTTTCCCTCTCTCCTCATGAGGTTGGCAGCAGTAAGCTCTGAGGTCATGACAGCACCCCACTCTGCTCCACAGGAAGTCCCCCTTCCTTCAGATCCAATGCACAGAACTCAGGAAAGTGTTAAGATTACAGATCTAATGTCGCAAAAAGGACAAAAATGAAGAGCTTGCATGCATCAAAAGAGGACATGCCGTGCTGTCTATCACCAAATAGAAAGCCCATGGAAATTCAGTGGCCAGAGCTTTGATACTGGGCTCATGTGAAGTGACTGACTTCAGCTGCCAATACACCCTGCTCCCAAGAGGTTGAATTTACCAGCTGGCTCTTTTTGGCCTGTCTAGCATCTCTTAGCTGATGCTTCCTTAGCACAGCCTGTTATGTCGGTGTGGTCTGGCAGCCCCATCAAAGACATTTTAACCACTGGGAAATTTCCAAGATTTAGAGGTTATCTCTAAGAGCTAGGGACAACGACCATATTCTTACGTAAAGTTCATTGTAAAATTGACTGGATGAATAAGAAAAATACAATTTAAAATGAAATATACAATTACAATGAGTAGAATTCCAGCAAAGATTTCAACACTCTCCTTTTCTGGGCACACAAAAAAACCCCCAAACCAAGTAAAACTTCAGAGTCAATTCTCAATCACAGAAAGCCTACATAGAGTTTTTATGAGTGTAAATCTTTATGGAAGCAGACATCCTCATCTTTGCCCTATACAGCAGCTGATGGCTTTGAACTCCTGACTTGGTGGTTAGCAGCCCATTGCTTATCCCACAGCATCACCGGTACTATGAACGTTAGCAAACATTAGTAAAGGGTAAGCATCAAAATGACTAGGGAAATGGAGACAAGTAATTTTTGAAAATATATTTCAAAAATTTTGAAAATAAATTTCCAAATTGATTTGGAAAAAAATCAAAATTTTCATACTTCTTTAATCACTCCTATTTGTAGCACATATAAGAGATATATATTTTTTTTTGTTCAGAAGAGAATGATGCCACCTGACTTGGACTAAGGGGAAGTAAAATATTACCCCAAATATGCACTTTTAAGGTATTACACACATGGATTTAGTTAAAATATTATTGATGTCCATCAGTGCTGGCCCTATTCCACTGAAATATATTAATTTCAAAAATATATATGATTTTAAAAAGACTATGAGAGTAAAGCCACCTTCAAAATTCCTATCTTTAAAGTAAGAGTGATGTTTAGCAAAATACCATTAGTGACATTTAAGAAAAGTTCTTGAATCAATTTAAAATTGATTATAGTTAAATTAACTATAGTTAAAATATAGTTTAAAAAATAGTTAAAATATAGTTTAAAAAACTATAAATTAATTATAGTTAAAAATTAAATATACAAATTTGAAATTAATCGAGGAAGATATGATAGAGTTCAAATTTTGACAATAGTGCCACAAGGTTTCAAGATTAAGCAATAAACACATTTTCTCATTATTTAAAAGTGGAAATTAAATTCTCATGAAAAATCCGGATAATCATTTGGAGAAAAGAGGTGCTACAGCTCCCCAGCTCTTAGAAAAAAATACATTGTATTTTATTGCATTATGTGGCATTTAATGTTGCCAATCATCTACAGGGACTGAATTAAGGTTCTTCGTATTAAGTTGAATTCTGGGTGAAAGGGGATGAGGAGAGTTCCAAGCCCCATAGAAGGATTTTATATTTTGCCGTCATCCTTCCAATTGAAAGGGAGCGTCAGCAAACAGTGGACTCAATCAAAACACGGCTCTCAGATCGCACTTACTAGAGGGACAAGGTTGTAGTGGATGCGGAACCCGGGTTCAGAAGGGAAATACTCATCAGACACAAATCTGATCCTGATTTGATTTCCTTTGGAAATCTGTCTTCCCGGCACAGTACCAGAGCCACACCAACGTCCAAAGAGAGTTCCGTCACTGGGGTCCTCAACTTCGACAAAATCGTACCTGGAATGACAGAGAGAAAAGACAGATTCACCTGTCTGTGGATTCACAGTCTTCCTGCCTGGTGTCCAAAGCTATGAGTTCATGTGGAGTCCAACTGGATAAAGATAACAGTCCCAAAGTGGAAGTAGGAACCCACTAAAATCGTATTCCCATTTTAAGAAATAGGAGTTCTCAAGCACCAAATTTGTCAGCTAGTCACCTCAAAACTTACTGTTTTGAATGGACTTACCATATCTGATTTGTAATTTATTTAATTTGTCAATGTAATAATTTTCGAGTATGGTATGGGCACAATTTACTCCAACTTTTAATGTTCGTTGTTATTGCTATTACTTTCTGACAGTACTTGCATCTGGGATGCAAACTTTTCTGTAGGCGGTTGAATATGTATGTACATATCCTTCAAAGGTCACTTTGTACTGTACTGCCTCTGAAACCTTCCAGGTGTCCTCAGGCCAGTTAGCATTCTCTTTTTGATAAGCACATGTTCTGGATATTCACCATTGAAATGACCACCTTTCATAGTTACTTAAGACTGTATGACTCATACAAAAAATAGATCTTCAACATTTCTATTGTACACAGCATTGCACACAGTTTCTTAAACATAAGAAATATACGATTATTGCTTATTAACACAGACACTTTGGGTTAAGAAGGTTCGTATCAGCGATTAGCGGTGAGAGCTGTTGTAGATACAGGCGTTGCTTTGCCCCACATCTTTGGAAAAGCAGCTGGGATGTGGTTTTTTTCCTTCTCTACTCTTAGAAGTTTCCTTTGCTCTACTTTATCTACCCTAGAGAGTTGCTTACATTCCTGGAAAAGCTGTAAATTACTTGATTTGATACTTTTTGTTGGTCCTAGGCTGTGGTCTGCCCTGGGGTAGCTATGCGCCTGGCAGGGATTGATCAATATGCTATGCAAATAAGGTATCAAAAGCCTACTGAACAATTAAGTTTCTGTGGCCTAAGGAGAAGGGACTAATTAATGCTCAAGAGAGGAGTGATCGATCCATGACATTGGTCAATGCCTTGGACTTGACCTGCAGTGCATGTGCACAAGCAGTCTATCTGACAGAGGGTTTTCAGGCAGGAAACAGGAAGCAATGAGGGAGGTATAAAGGCAAGAGAAAACAGAGAAGCAGTGAAAAAAGAAACTTTCTTAAAGAATTGTAACTCTGGGCCACGTGCTGTGACAATGGAGACAGTGACAAGGCCAGAAGTTGTCCAGTGGCAGAGCCACCTGTAACATAGTTGGTGGTGACGGATGGCAGGGTGTCAGCAACCAGTTCTGATGGGGGCCAAGAAGAAGCCTATACAGAGGGGACAGCCAGAAAGGTTTTCTTCCGAGAGCTAAGAGGAGGCCTGCACAACCAGGAGGAGGTGTGCATGACTGAAAGAAGAGCCAGCTTGCCGGGACTGTAGGAGAGATGGCGTGGCCTCCCTGCACTGAAGGGAGGGATGTGCGCTCTTCAGGGGAGCCTTGGAGACTTGGCCCATGTTTCCGGATCGGATCTCAAGTTGTGGCCTGTTGATCCTGATTTCAAGTTGTGCCCTGCTATTTCCTTAATAATAAAGCATTGACTCTCAGTATGCTTTCTGAGTGATGCATGACATTTGTAATGAATAGTTAAACCTAGCAAAGGAGTAGAGCATGCCGTGGAAGGAGTGGCCAGTATAAGAATTGGTAAAAAGAGATGGGAGAGTGAAAGTATGTCTCACTTCCACCTGTAAGGATGACCTTGAGATGACCTTGATGATCAAGTCAGGATTCAGGATGAGATTGTTTAGCAAATTCTGCAAGGCTCCCCTGAAGAGTAGAGCACATCCCTCCCTCCATCAATACAGGCAGGTCTCTCCATTTCTCCTAAGGTACAAGGATCTTGGCTCTTGTAGTCACACACCATTTCCCAACTGTGCAGGGCTCCTCTTTGCTTTCTCAAAACCCCCTCAGAAATTATCCAGGTTCTAATATTACTATCACTAGCCTTTTATCTGCCCCATAGAATGATTCCGACATGCAGAGAGGCATTTAGGCTGTGTACCTCCTCTAACTTCAACGGGCAGGCGGAGACTTCACCTCTACACTAGCGCAAGATGAACTGCCACAAGGCCAAGGTCAGACCTGCTTCTACCGTCCATCCTTCTTTATCCATTCCGACACCTGCCATCCTTCCGGTGGGCGGCACGCTCCTCATCGGCTAGATTCAAAAATCCATTGCAGCGGCCACACAGAACTCACCGACACTACTCACATCTTTAAAAGTTTATTAGGGAAACTAACAGGTTGCCACAAGTCAGGATCAACAAAATGTTAAGGATATGTAGTCTTGTTCACAGTAGTGTTTTTTCACAGCCAGCAGTCACTTACTTGACCCTTTGGCCTCTGCCTTGTCTGCGGGCTGGCAAGCTGTCACTCTTAACCATTTCAGTGCTGAAGGTTCTGGTACATCTACTTCCCCCACTTGAGACAGGGATCTTACAAGCGCTTCACGGTGGCTTTTTCTTGATGGTCACAGGCTTCTCCGATGGCGCTCTTACACCAAGAGAAATAGCAAAACTGACCAATACCCTCTTAGTGTTTCACACACCCAGTTTGCATGATTCCACCCAATCATTTGGGGGGGTGGTGATTACAAAGACTCGGATAGAAGGATTTTACTGCACTACCTAAAAATATTATTGAAATTTCATATGCAAGGATGAGGGAATCTCACTATCCATCAAACATCCATCCCATAATCCTGATATGTTCCAAATATATTATTCATGTAGGTGAAAATTCTGTTTTCATCTATCCCTGCCTGTGTCATCTATCCTAGCACTGTTGTTCATATAAATCCAAATATGTCTTACACAAAATTGGTTTTTTAAATCTATATAATAAAAATGGTGTTGAAATTCAACTACCAAATGACCTGAAGGAAGTCTTCTCTCTGGAATTTTACTAAGAACAGTCATCGTTTTGGAAGACCACGTAACCAAGAGCCACAGAAGCAAGTTTTGCATCACAATTAAAATTGTTAACCACAGCCACGTTAGCTTTTCTCTGTCAAATTCAAAATGACTCTACTTAAAAGATGTGAATATCTATTTTCTTATATTCCTCCAGTGTGATTGTGCATGAACATTTAAGCATTGGCATACATATTACTTGGTGAATATTGCTTTGCTTTTGTTCAGATTTGGGCTGCCACGGCAAGACTGGCTGTTCTAACTCATCACCTGTTCCGTGGGAGAAAGATGAAGCTGTCTCCTCTATAAAGACTGACACTTTCTGAAACCCCACGGAGCAGGGTGCTACTTGGTCCTACAGGGGTTGTGAGTCACAATCAATTTAATGGCATCAAGTACAAATTGTGTTATTGTTTCTCCTTGATAAACACGGGCCGTTATATTTATTTTAAAACAGCTGTGTGTTTGTATGTTCTGAGAGACACAGATGAGGCTTTCTACGCCTGTAAAGATTATAGTCTCAGAAACTCTCAGGGGCTGTTCTACCTTGGCCTAAAGGGTGGCCATGAATCAGAACTGATACCATGGCAGTGGGTTTGCTTCTGGGGACGTTTGGTGTGTTTGCAGACATGACAACTTCTATATAAGTGGTTTTGCACAATCCTGAAGAGAACATTCAAACTTTTATTTTAAAAGGACAGTGTCATTTAGGTGAAAATCACTGGTAGATTAGAAATCTTAGTCCAGTCAATAGGAGACAATAATTTTTTTAAATTTCATGTGTAGTAAACAGAAAAAAGATTTGAAAAATGGACAAATATATAATGAGCTCATTTTTCTTCTAAATCATTCTTCTAAAGAGGTAGCCATATAACTCACCGATGGAATGTAACTTCACCAGTTTCAAACTGATTTTTCTCATCTGTAAATTAAGGATAAATGCTACTTACCTCTTAGGAATATTCTAAGAAAGTAAAATCAGGACAATATATGTGCAGTGCCTAACATACTGCTTGACATTCAATGGTCCCCCCCACCTTCACCTTGCATCCCTCACACCCACCTCCCACACATCTCTTTTAACATAACCTTGGGAGTTTGAAACAATAAAAAAGAAACCCAAACACCAAGTGGAGACAATGTTTTTGTTATATCCTATGAAAGTCAGGGCTATAAATTACAGATATGTAAACCAGCCGGCACAAGCACTTTGAGAGTTGTGGTGTGTGTGTGTGGTGAGGTGAAACGAAACACAGGTGCCTCGGGGCACAGCTATTTCAGATATGATTGATACCAAAGTTGATGATTACCGTTTTTATCAAAGGGTAGTTTTTATAGAGAGATTGTTTACATGGGAAACAAAGGTTCTATTCACAGAGAAACCATTTGCTCTGTGCTTGGTAGGTAAACCTATCTGACCTGGATTTCCACTGCTGCTCAGTTAAAGAATTTCAGGCCAGACCAATACCTCTGCCAGTATTTGTAAAGCATCGACTTTTGTGCAAAGTGCTATGCTAGAGTCTCATGATGGAAAGATGAAACTATAGATTCTTTGGGTTCAGGGTCCATAAAACACATTGCATGTACCCTAATCAGAGTATGTAAGAACTATTGTGGAACACTGTGTAATTTTATACAGCGGGATTAGGGTCAGTTTACAAAGGATTTGACATTTGCTTTGTCAGGGAATCCTGCCTGACCAGGGGTGAAAAGGGAGGGAAATGGAGATCCCTTCCAGTGACAAGCACCATGCCCAAGACTAATAGAAGGAGGAAAAGGCCAGGCATGTCCAACAGAGACTTGAGAACGGGAACTAGGGAAATAGATGGACATCAGATCAGAAGACGAAGTGTAGGTCACAAGCTCTTGGTATTTCCTAGTGTCACATTAGAATAGTCTGTAGGCCTGATGTTGTAATAGGTAGGTGCAGATTTAATAAACTTAAAGTTGTTTTACAATTTTAAAGTCAACAGTTTGATAAATGGAATTATACACACACACACACACACACACACACACACGCGCGCGCACACAGAAAAAAAGCTG